CTAGATACATCAAAGCTCCAATAGCACTCAAGTATGGTATTTCTGGACCGAGTATTTCTTCATCATCTTCACGAGGTCGGAACGGGTCATCATGTACATTAAGAGAGCGAACAACCATCGGGGATGTGAGAGGATGTGCTTTATCCATATAAAACCGCTTCAGAACCTTCTTCGTGTAATTTGACTGGTGGATGAATATTCCGTCTTTCAAATGGTCAATTTGAAGACCAAGACAGAATTTTGTTCTCCCAAGAACTTTCATCTCAAATTCTTTCATGAGATATTTTGCAGTATTTTCTATTTCATCAGAAGTTCCAATGATGTTTCAATCATCAACATATACTGCAATAATGGCAAAGCCTGATTTAGATCAACGGATGAAAACACATGGACTAATTGGATCATTTTTGTATCCTTCTCTGAGCAGATATTCACTGAGACGATTATACCACATTCTGCCAGATTGTTTTAGTCCATATAGTGACTTTTCCAATTTTATGGAAAACATCTCTCGAGGTTTTGAACTATAAACCTCAGGCATCTTTAGCCCTCCAGGAACTTTCATATATATGTCAGTATCGAGAGATCCATATAAATATGCTGNGCTCTCAAACGTATGATTTGAGCAAGGAGTTTTGCAAATGCAAAATTTCTTGTAGATAAAAGACTAACATGTGACCAACGTGTTGATGCGTCGATCAACACCATAAAATAACGAAATGGTCCACATGCTGGGGCAATTGGCCCACAAATATCTCCTTGAATTCTTTCTAAAAATGCAAGAGATTCAACTCCAATTTTATTTAGAGATGGCCTGACAATCATCTTTCCAAGCGAGTAGGCAACACATGGAAAATCAATTGATCTTGGAATCCTTATATTTTTCAATGGATGTCCAAGTGAATTTTGAATTATTTTGTGCATCATTTCACTGCCAGGATGACCCAAACGGTCATGCCACAAAATGAATGTTTTCTGATCATCTAATTTTTTATTAGAGATAACATTCACTTCAACGGGACTAATGTGAGTATAATATAGCCCCGAGGAATACGCTGGCATCTTTTCACAAAGAATTTTATTGCCAGATTTGGTTGTCGTTAGACACAAGTATTCCTTTTGATTTTTTGTCATGGTTTCAATGTGATAACCATTTTGACGCATATCTTTAAAGCTCAATAAATTCCTTCGGGATTTGCTGGAATATAATGCGTCTTTGATAATTAATTTTGTTCCTTGGGGAAGGATTAAACAAGCTATTCCAGACCCTTCAATGAGCTTCGCAACACCAGAGATTGTATTGACATTAGTTTCCATTAATGTCATTTGAGAAAAATATTCTTTGTTTCTCAAAATGGTGTGCGTTGTGGCACTGTCAATTAGACATTGTTCTTTGCCACTTGAGCCATAAGCAGTTATCTCCATATCTTGAATACAAATAAATATATAAATAAATATAAGTTAAAGATAATTAACACAAATATCATACATTTTATTATCATTACTTTTTTAGAAGAGACATAATAATACAAGCACACATGAAAAATAAAATACAAATTTCCAACATTTATTTAAAAAGTAAACACACCATAACAGAGTAAATGAAAATGTTTAAATAGTAGTAGTTCCACCAAAGGTCACTTCATCACCAATTTCAGCATCATCCATGTAGAAATCGGACACATCAAATTTAGGCAAAATTGGATTGATATCATCAGCATAATTAGCTTCCACATTTTTTCCTTTTCCTTTTGTGGAAGCCTGGTATAATTTAACCAAATGTTTTGCCGTTCGACATTCATTCGCCCAGTGTCCTTTTATGCCACATTTGTAGCATTCACCACTTGGTTTTGGCTTTTCATAAGTTTTAGCCTGTGGTGGTTTGAATTTTCCTTTTCCTTTG